TATTCCGAAAATAGTAGCAGCTTTTATCATCAATTTTTTTTCATCTGACGCCTCATTTATAAATCTCCGGACTTGTTCATACGTAGGAGTTTGTGATTTTTTGTGCTGAAAACTTTCATTTTTCAGCTTTACTTTGAAATATTTGTTTATGTTAACACCATTTTTAACGAGCGCACTCGACTATCATTGAAAACTTGCTCCAAAGTTGACGAGTTCCATATTTTTTATTTCTCTTATAATTAGACTGAGGAGACGGTTCTTCTGAAATTTCCTTCGACGTTTTTAAGTCTACACCAGTTAAGAAAATTAGAATATGCGATGTCGTACTGCGGAGCCGATATTTTTGGTAACAATTCAAATGAAAATATTTTTGCAGCCATCATCAAGAACTTCAAATATGACTTTGAATAAAACGCGTGAGCTGTAAGTAATACTGTTTGTTGGTAACTAGGTGATTTGGCGTCACCTGATACGGCAACTTCACAGGAAATGCGATAAAATGAAAATAGTTAATTGACAAGAGATGTCAGAATGAGTTTTTATAGGAATATTGAATTTATCTATTTCATTATGAAAACAGGACAGTTGTAGAAAAACCTTTGTATGATATTTGTGTTACAAGAAAGTTTTATAATGTTCAACTCGCTACGCTTGATTCGCAAACTTTTTCACCCACAAAATTTGTTTAATCTGTTTAAAATCTGATTTTCCATTAACCAGCTGTCGTACCCCATCGAATGACAACCCTCATAAGTCGAAACTTATGCGAGCTAAGGATTAACGAGGTCTCACCTTTTACCGTGTGATTCCTAACACGAGTTGGACGATAGCAAGTGAAAATCCATCGTTAAGACTAGGGCTTGAACCACCGACCAATACGGCAGTCAATTCCAGTGAGTGAACAAAGCACCCACATCGAACCGCCTTTACTTTTAACACTCATATTGATAGCAATATTCAACTTCATTCAAAGCTGAATATGTGGAAAATTATCAAAATTTCTTCATCGAGTTTAGTTCCTATCTTAATCCAATCTGTGCTCTTGTACAATGCAATATGTTTTCCTTGACCTTCACTGATTTCATTCCCTTAAGAAAGGGCAATAAAAGAGCTAGCTCAATAGTGAAGTAATATATTGGGACAAAGCTCGAAGTTCAGGCGATTTCTCGGTAGCAAACTAACTTAATAGAGTCAGACTTCCGTTCATATAAGAACGACTCGATTGTTTCAATATTAGATTATGTTACAAAGGAAACGTCTTCAGCTTACTGAGTTACGAATTAACTTTGACAACGTTGAAATGGTCGATTTTATATAGAATTTTCGACGCAATATGTTTTAGAATTGAATAAAAAGAACGATATAGTGGGCTGTTGAAAAAATAAGGTGTTTTTTTTAATTGGTACACTCTTCCTGAACTAATGTTTACAGTTTGAGCTGTTTAGCATGTTGAGTTTGTTGGTGAGAAGCATAAAAGTTTTTCGTGTACGGTGATTTTCTGCTACCGATCAGAGAATTTTCATCAAATTTTTTTTGAAAAATGGAAGTAGGTGATCAGAAACATTCAAAATGTTGACAGTGGCATACGTTAATTGTACTCCGAGTCAGAAAAAATATTCACATATTATACAAGCTTTTCACAGAGGGTTGAGAAGACGTGAATGACGCTCACCTTGGTACCCCAGCACATCAACAACCGATGAAAATTTTGAGAAAGTGGAAACAATAGTCATGGAGAATCATTGATTCACTATTGGAGAAGCTGGTGAAAATATCTGCATATCGGTCAGCTCATGCGATACAATCTTTTCGGAAATTTTGGGCATGAATCATGTGGCAGCAAAGTTCGTTCCAAAATTACTGAATTTTGACCAAAAAACCGACGCATGACTAAATGCTGGATGACCTCAACCGTGATCCAGATTTGCTTGGAGGGGTCATAACTGGTGATGGATCATGGGTATATGGTAATGATATCGATGATGAACTCTGGAAAGCCAAGACAAAACAAGCACGCCAAATTCTATCAAATGTCGAAATTTTGCTCACTGTTTTATTCAACTACCGTGTCGTTGTGCATCAGAAGTCGAACGGTCAATAAGGAGTACCAGTATAGTGGAAAAGCAATTCATTTTTTCGAAGACAAAACACAAGCACTAAAGGAAAAATTCTTGAGGCGCCCTGAAAGCGGTGGATTTGAACTGCTGGAAATCCATTTGGAAAAACTTTCTCAGAGAGGTTATTCCACATAAACGCAGTTCTCCAAATGGAAGAGTTCTCAAATAGTGAAATTCGAGGTATGCTGTGAGCAGCCATATTTCTTCGCGTATTTTCTATATGTATCGCTCTTCGACGTTCCAGACTATCGAAGTTGCAAGTGATGTTCACGTCTTCAATCAGGCGAATGGCTCTTTCCTAGATGGAATCCAACAGCTTTGGGGTATGCCTAGGGACGGAGCTCCATACATGGGAACAAAACTCCAGAAAGTATCTAAGAAAGAGAGACAATTCTCCAACCTTTCTTCGACGTTCCAGACTATCAAGGCTGCAAATGATGTTCGTGATTCCAATCAGGCAGATGACTCTATTTTGGATGGAATCAAGGTGCTTCACGATATGCTTAGGAGCGGAGCTCCATATATGTGAACAATACTGCAAAGAATGTTTGATCTGATCTTTATAAAGCATCAAAATTTTCTGACGTGTGTACAATTTTCGAAGCAGAAATCGGAATGGTCTGTTCTGACATTATTATATCCGGTTCGGAGACGTTCACCTTTTTGGACGAAACCAATGTCTGGATTTTCGTTGCAATGAATTGAACCTGATTACTTCCACTACAATTCAAAATCACTTCTAGATCCATATCAAGATATGCAATCTCCAGGTACCGGTGAAGATGTGCATCCGCAGCCAATGTCCTAGAATCGAAATGAAATGACGAGATAAATGTACTGTCGTCAGCAGAACAGTATATCAGATTCCTTTGTTTACCAATAAATTGTTGATATACAATAAAAAGAGAATGAGAGATAAAATAGATCCCTGGAGAACACCAGAATTGACGGTAAAAGTACTGCCACTTGCAGGGAAAATTTTTTCAGGAAGCTGGAGAGCCATCACAAAAATGATCCAACAAGCCATAGCATTGAAGTTTGGTGAGCAAACCCTCATGCCAAACATGGTTAAAAGTCTTAGAAATACCAAGAGCAGAAGCTTTTCACACTTCATGTTTCTCGATTGCGTTATCTGAAATATGGGTGACTTACGATATAATATCGCCTGTTGGTCTTCGTTTTCGAAAGCCATCTTGTTGGTGTTCGCTCAAGATGTCGAAGCCTTCCAAATATTCAAGGATATAGTGGTTTACGACTTTCTCCATGATTCTTGATATCACTGATAGCAAAGCGACTGGTCTATAGTTATTTGGAAGGTTGTCCTTGCCATTCTTGGGAATGGGTTGAATGTGAGCAATCTTCCAACAAGAAGGAGAACACCTTCCTCATAAGACAGGTTGAAAAGTGCAAAATACTGGTTCGAATTCATTTGCGTACTTCCTAAGTATGATGACGGGTACTTCATCAGAACCAGACGCCTTGTTGATATTGAGCTGATTTAAAAGTCGCCTGACTAGACGTCATTAAGTTACTTCCGGTATTGTGGATTTTAGTGGCTGGTGCCTTTCCTAGAAAATCGACTGTCGAGTGAAGGCAAATTGTTCAGCTGATAGATTTTTCTACGGCTCTTGCAGTTGAACCATCAGCCCGTCTTTGTGTTGGAGTTGTGGATTCCGTAAAGTTTCGATTAACAGCTTTGGTTGCCGACCAGAAGGATCTAGGCCCGTTGAGATTGGCAAGCAGTTTATCCCTAATTATCTGATTGTGGAGTTCTTTGCCTCCATTTCATGACAACACTGTAATCATGTCTCAGATATCGTATCCACCAGATTTGCCCCCCTGAGCCTATTTTCTGCTTCCAAGATTGAAGAGACCCATGAAAAGACAGCGTTTTGCGACGATTGAGGAGATAAAAACCAAAAAGTGGGTATCGTCACTACTTCTAGGCACAAATCTGTTTAAAAATCTGTTTAAAATCTGTTTTTCCGTTAACCAGCTGTCGCACCCCTACGAACGGCAACCCTCAGAAGTCGAAACTTGTGCGAGCTAAGGATTAACGAGGTCTTACCTTTTAACGTGTGATTCCTAACACGGGTTGGACGGTAGTAAGTGAAGATCGATCGTTCAGACTAGGGCTTGAACCATCGACCAACACGGCAGTCAATTCGAGTGAGTGAACAAAGCACCCACGCCGAACCGCTTGGCTACCGACTGACCATGCTGACATAAATGAATTATATCTGGTAAGAACGACTTCGAATGGGACATAATAGAAATTTATGAATAAATAGATGTTATTTGAGGAGAATGAGAATTCCCCTTTTTTTTCAACAGAGTGGTATACAGCGTGGGAGTATTTTCATATCATACTATGACAAGAAAATACAATGGAGCTAATTGGTTTTGGAGGTGATCTTTCAGCAAATTTGAATAAGGAAACATTCAATTGACCGTTTCAGGTATGAAAAATAAATATCTCCAAATGCATCGTTTCTTCTTCCGTCTTTTCAACATTTTTTTTATGCACAGAGAGCAACAACACAATGCTGCATATCCTCTCAAATGCATGATGATGATGTGGAGACAATTAATTCGACCGACGAACATGATCAGTACTGATCATCGCTTTGAAACTGTTCTCAGTTGAACCCGGAGAATGATGATTTGAAATTGAGATGAAAAAGTTATTATTATTTTTTTCCTCGGAAATTAAAAAAATTCGTACTTTTATATCTAATTTTCCTTATCTCTAATAAAACCTATTCTACTTCATTCATAATGCAAGTTGTGAGTCGAGAGATCATGCAAACACAATACAGAACAATAAGCACATGGTTATACTCCTCCTAACACTAACAGCAAACACGTAAGTCTCTGACTTACTCAGGTGATTCGGAAGTATCCAGACAGGATGTGAGACAGTTGCAGGTGCTAGGACGATGACGCTTACCATTACTTACAACAAAGATAAAGAAGAGTAAAAATGGGATCAAGTGTGAGAATAATAACAGGCTTTGTCAAATGAGGAGTTCAAAAATAAAACAATCACAGATAAACTAAATGTGACTTTAAGGTTTATAGAAAAACTCAATATTGATATAGACTACATTATGAACTGACAATGAATGGTCAGAATTCTGAAGTTTGGAACCTTTGGTGTAGTAATGAATAAATCTGGAGTTCTATACGTACGCTAAACGGTTATTTTACACACATCGACACGTATTTCAATCACCAAGTGATCAATTTCAAGAGGAAGATTAAACCAAATCTATAAAAAATGTTGTTTTCATTCATATCATAGATACATCTGCTAGGTAACTGCGTCTTATTGTCTTGAAATTAATTTCACATTGTTACCTAATCCACTGGTCAGGTAAATCTGATAACTAAAAATATTATTTCAACAAGCTATAAAGTAAACTATTAGCTATTGGTCCGCCATCGTTTATACATAATATTATATCATCAGTTCGGACATCTATTGTCTAATATGAAGAATCTGTAAGAAAATTAAATAAAAAAAAATTAAAAGATTATCGGACAAAAAAATGTATCAAGCAAAAACTGAAATCACAATGAAATGATATACAAGCAACAAAAAAAAATAAATATTATCACAAGCTGAAAAAAAATAAGAAATCATTAACAAGAAATGAAAATCAAAAATATAAAATCAAAACATTCCAAACCAAGTTACTTCATGACGTTTTGATTGTTAGTATCTACAATCGTCTTATGGTGATAACTGGACTCATTCCTTCGAGTATTTCATCAGTTCAGACTTCCATTGTCTAATATAATATAAATTGATTTGATATCAAAAAAATTAACCAAAAATAACAATTTTATTAAAAAAAACTGCAATTACAAAGAAATAACACAATAACAAACAAACAAATAAAAATAGAAATATTAATAAAAGCTGATAAAATTGAAAAATTAAAAAATTTAAATTATTATCAACAAAAAATGAAAAAATAATAAAAATTGAAAGATTTCAAACCAAGTTATGTCATAACGTTTCGATTGTCAGTATGCACAATCGTCTTCGTGTGATAACTGGACTTATTCCTCCGAGATCTGACTATTTATAGGTCATTCGAGTGCTTTCACCTATCCCCTCTTCCCTCTTTCCGCTTCATTGGTTTTGGCGCTAGCTTGACCAAATGCGTTGTTGGACAACATATACGCAACCAGTGTTCCTTTTTGTGGATGATTTCAGCTTGAGCCCACTTGATGTTGTGTTGATGAGTCCAAACATGCTCTGATATTCCGGATTTGCTGGTTTCTCCTCGCTGTGTGTGTTTCTTGTGCTCAGCAATGCGAACGTTCAATGGTCTCTTAGTTTCACCGATGTATGATTCTCCGCACTCGCAGGGTATCCGGTGAATGCAATTCTTGGAATCCTCCTTGTGGATGATTTCAGCTTGAGCCCACTTGATATAAAGTTGAGCCAAACATGCTCTGCTCTTCCGGATTTGCTGGTTTTTCCTTGCTGTGTGTGTTTTTTGTGCTCGGCAATGCGAACTTCAGATGACCTCTTAGTTTCAGCGATGTATGATTCTCCGCACTCGCAGGGTATCCGGTAAGTGCATTTCTTGGAATCGCATTCCGCATTTGGTGGCCTGATTTTCGTGAGACTGCCACGGATAGTGTTCCCAGATCTGAAGCAGGTTCTGATGTTATACTTGGACCCAATCCTTCTTATCCTATCCGACAATCCTCTGATGTAGGGAAATACAAGTATTGGCTGTGGCGGCTTCTCGTCCTTGTGGAGCTCTTGCTGTCTTCCAGCTAAAGCCTGTTCCACCATCACTTTGAAGTAACCATTCCGTTGAAGGTCATTTTTGATGATGCCTAGTTCCTTTTCGAGACCTTCCTTTGTATTTTAGAACGCGAAAGCATGATCTAGTAGATTCTTGATGAATCCTCTCTTAGTCGATTGATGGTGGTTGGATTTCTGATTCAGATACTGTCCCTTGTGAGTGGGTTTTCGATATGAAGATGTTTCCCATTTGGTCTCGGTCCTCTTCACCAATACGTCTAAGAATGGCAATTCGTTGTGTACTTCCTTCTCCATTGTGAAAGTGATGGAAGGACTTACGTTGTTGATGTGCTTCAGGAAAGTGTATAGTTCTGCATTTCCATGGTTCCATATCATGAAGGTGGCGTCCACGTATCTTAACCAGATTCGGGGCTTCTTGTGGGCTTGTTCAATGGCCAGAGTTTCAAACCACTTCATAATATTATTATGTCGACTCATTTCTGAGTTTTCATAGCCGTCTAAATGCCTGTTGTTGTTATCTTGTCTAAATAATCTTAATGAACTGAAATCTGTGGAATGGTTTTGTTGCAAAACCGTATGCGAAATTATCCAGGAACCTGTTACCAAAGATGATTGCCCAAGTAAAAGACACCTTCAAGAAATGCGACAACTTACTCACCCCTCAACTGGAACGGAACTTACAAGTTTCCAACCAGGTTTTAGTATCAAAAACTCCTTAGAGTTCATACAACATACGAAAAACATCGTTCTGCAAGAAGGTGGGATTTCAATTTCATTTGATGTGAGTTCTTTATTTTCTGGTACCCAATTCCACAGACCTGACAATACCTCAGAAAATTAGTGGAGAAAAATAATTTCAGTGATAACAAAATTGATGAATTCGTTTCTCCCACTAATGTGTGTATAAAACAAAACCGTTTCTAGGTAGTAGGTTGCTTTTATGAAAAACAGGAGGCTATGGGTAAACCCCTGGCCCCTACCTGGCTAACCATTTCATGAGCTGATTCAAAATGGAAACCAAAGAAACGTCAAAGAATTTCGTGAGGATATGACTGAGGTATGTGAATGATGTTTTTGCGATATTCTATAACAAAAAATCTGATATTGAGAACTTTACATATCGGATATTTACACGTCGGATATAATTCAACGCCCTTCGTGGTATTAGCCACGGGAGTAGTTGTTTTCTGATAAGTGTCAGCCCATTAACCTACAGTGTATCTGAAGAAACAAATTGTTCCTTTAGATAATTTGATTTATAGCCAGTCTTCAAGTTTGCACACTGACTATATGTGAAGTTTTTTCCTTATACGTGCAATTGGGAAAATTTCGGATATGCGGATGTGTACCTCGTTCACATGCAGATAGGGCGATAACAAATATGTTGTTTGTTGTCCGCTTCAGCCTAGTTCAAGAAATAATACTCTGAAGGAATTCGATTTTTTTCAATTATCGGAAATCATCGACTTTATGTTGATGATAGACATCACCTTTCACTGACGAGTGGCCAAACAGCCCGAAACCAGTGCAAGTATGTTTCAATGAGTGAAAATCTATTGCGGCAGTTGTATCGCCAACAACATATGCAGAAATAACTTCAGTAAATAATCCTGCACTGACACCTGTCGGATATAATCCAACGCCCTTCGTGGTATCAGCCAGAGGAGTAGTTATTTACTGATAGGTGTCACTCCATTAACCTACAATGTAGGGACTTGAGACTGGCCTGAACAAAATATTCCTTTAGATAATTTTATTGAGGAATTTGTTTCAATTGAAGGGGTTATATTTTTAGGAGTGAATAATTTTTGGGGAAGAAAGTTTTTCGCTTATACAAAAAAAAAGATGAGGGAATCTTCCAAAGAAAGGAAGGAAGTAATCAATTTGAAAATAAGTAACTCTATACATGGATGTGTAGATCATGCAAAGTAACTTTCAGGCACAAACTGAAAGAAAGTCCTCCTGAAACAGCTACTTTCATATAAACATTAAATTACACGAAAGAAAAAAAATCTTTCGAAACAAATACTTCCACATGAACACTGAATTATACAGAAGATACTTTTCTCTACTCAGTTTGTATTTCAAACATTCGTTGTGGAATAGAAATCAGATATCATTCACATGAGTTCTACTTTAAATGAATGGTAACAAATTGCACTTACATGTAACATTGTCATCCTCACCGGTTTACATCGATGTTTCGCCGTAAGACACTTCAGTACCAAATTGGATAACATTATAGGAAATACACACATTTTGTGTCTGAAAGTTACTTCTTTGCATGATCTACACATACACGTATAGAGTTACTTATTTTCAAATTGGTTACTTCCTTCCTTTCTTTAGAAGATTCCCTCATCTTTTTTTGTATCAAGATGGAGTAGTAGAAAGCCAAAAACGAATTTGTTTCCTTTTCAAATAACAGACTTCCATCAATAATATTCAAGCATGAGTCAGAAAATGAAACTTTCATTTCTTGACGTTTTGGTAATGAGGAGTCAATGTGAAAAGCTAGAATAGGATGTATTTAGAAAGAAAACAGGCACTTACTGGTATTCCTAACAGTACACATCACTGTGGACAGCACAAACGTGCTGCCTAGGTCTTTGGGTAGACCGCCGACTCACCTGGGCAAATCACATTGATTATATCAAGTGCAAAGTGCAGATAAAGATAGCTAAACTCTATCCTCTGGTCAATAGAAATTCAAAACTCGATCTTAAAAATAAGATTTTACTATACAACACGATGTTCAAGCCTGTCATCATGTATACTTCAGGTGCTTGGGGACAAACCGCCCCGTCAAACCTCTCCATTTTGGAAAGGTTGCAAAACAAACTTCTCAGGATGCTGGTGAATGTTCCATGGCTCGTGCGAAATGAAGCCATCCGCAGAGATTTGAAGCTCTCAACTATACGGCAGTCCATTCAGTCGAGGAATCAGAGAGTTTTCGAGTCAGCGGAAACTCGTGATAACCCATTAGTTAGGGAAGCTGTAGATTATACTATAGACGACCCCACTCGATTCAGAAGGCCCCGTCGCTTGGTTGATTAAGGCCCCAAGACGTCTGTTAAAATGAACAGTTTGTTCATCAAATACCCCAGTCAGGAAGGGGTACACAAGGCCAGAGCGGCATAGAGGTCATTGATCTTTATGTCGCCAC